TTGACAGGTCCTTCAGTGCTCCTTTGTCAACCATAGATGCACAAAAGAGCACCTCCACAGATCCTTCCTGCTGCTGTCAGACTTCATAACCTTGGCTGCTCCATTAATCTTTACAGTCAATATCTTTATATGACTGATTTTATATCCTACCTCATGCATACAGCTTTAGTAATCGATGGTTTGCTCTGCTCAGATGTTGAAAAAACCTTTGTGCTGTTTTTATTTAGCCTCTTGGGAAACGTTTCTGTGAAGTAAACAGCTGCTGCTCTCTGTATGTTTTATTAACTTTAACTTGTCTTATTTAATCCAAGTATAATTCTTTTTTTTATAAAGGCATGTTGTTTCTTCTGCTCTGTGATTTTTCTCTTTCTGTACACTATAACTTACTGAATTTTGTTCTTTCTGATATTTAGTTTTCGTTTTCCACCAACATCTGTATTTTCCTTTGTATATTTTTCTTCTAGTGAATTTATTTATAAAGCCCAGCAACAGCTGCAGCAACGTGCTGCACATGGAGACATTTAAAACAAAGCAAGTTCAAAAAGTCTCAGTTTGAGCCAAACATGGAGGAATAACAATGTATTTTTTTATTTTTTTTATGAAAGTTAAAAGTGAGCTTTAAAGCAGCATGTCAGATATGGAAAAGGAGATTATTCCATAAACTAAAGACTGTCCTCTCTGAGCAGCCATTGTTCCCTTTGAAGGGGTTGGCTATTCTCCCTGAGTGCTGCGTCTCAGCTTGTCTGATGCCTGGGGACAGGTTAGCCCTCACTGTCCTCAGGCTGCTCTTGTCCTCAGCTCCCTACAGCTTTGCCAATAGAGCAACACCCTGTTAGGGTTTCTATGGTTGAATTTTCTGGTTATGATGAGTAAAACATCAGGGTCACCGTGGTTACTTAATGCTGCTGTTCTTTATGATGTGGCTTTGCTGACTATTGCTGGACGGTCTGTCCACTGAAAAAGACTTTAGAGATTAGTGGAGGAACTAGGCTGTAGTTGGTCTTCTACTTAGCAGTGTTTGATAGATGGTTATTTGTTGGTTTGGAGATGTTCAAGTTTTTCTTTTTTATTTGAGAGTTTTAAGTCTAGAAGTATGATTTTCCTTCCAGAGTAAATGATCCCTGATGGTGAAGTTTTTATTTTTTTATTTAGAAAGACCGATTTCCATCACATCAGAAATCACAGCTTCATCCATTTAAGATTATAACTGAAGATATAAGCAGAAAGTCCAAGTGATTTTGTCCATGTTGACTTTCTGGTATTTTTAGCAGAATATCACTAACTTATTTGTAAAGATAACAAAAAATAAACAGAATTAAACAGTAATAGGGATTGCACCACCTCGAGTAATAAAAACCACAAAGACATAAGAGGGCAGACATATTTCAGAAGAACAATCAAATGAAGTCGGATCTAATTGGTTTCACGTTCTCAGTCCATTTGGACCAAATCTTATAAAATTTTTCTTTTTCTAATTGGAGGGAAAAACAGATCCTTTCCATCACATAAATCTGGTAAACAATTTCAATCCATTCATCAATAGTGGGGGGGTCTGGTTTCATCCATTTCCTCGTGATGGCCTTCTTACTGGCAGCCAGTAGTGTAGCCAGCAGTTTTTTGTCTTTGTTTGTCCATGTGTCCAATTGTAGATTTCCCAGGTACAATGTTTCACATTTTAATGGAATACTTACATTGAATATATTTTCAATATGTTTGTGGAACTCTTCCCAATATGGTTTTATTACCTGAGAGTCCCAAAAAATTTGAAAGTGGTTGAAAGTGGTGAAGTTTTAAAAAAAAATCCTGTTAACAAATCTGTCTATGGTTTTCTCGAGAAAGGGAGGCAATTTTCTCATTATTTAAAGATAATGAAAGATGTTTTTTCCGTGATAACGTGATGATTGGTGTGTGGGAGAGGATTTATAAGTCATGGCAGCCTATGTATCTATTAGGGTGTGGAATTAATAAGATTTTCACGATTCCGGTTCCCTTATCGATTCTGTGAAACAATGAACTGGGTAAGTGAACGGTGACATTCGTCTACCTTCGCCTGGGACATTCTATCACTGCCTGCCTCGGCGAGAACAGAAGGCAGTAAACGGGATCTGCCAGCCTCTGAGCCAGCCAGGCTACCCGTCTCCTCACAGTCATCTAGATCTAATGGAGAAAGCATCCGTTTAATGAAAAGGCATTGCTGTACAAGTTCGGAAAGTAAACTCATCTCCCCCTGATTTAAATAAACGAGCGTCACCTTTCTTTTGCTCCCTGAACTGCGGAGCAACTTGGTAGCATGTTTCGTTACATCCATTGCAGTAGCTAGAATCATGTAAGAATTCCAGCTACCATTAGTTCTGATTAAACATGCTAGCAATGAAGGGCTGGATTAACGAGAAAGGCACACTCTCTTAATAACCCCAAATAGAGAAAGGAAACAGGTTCATTTCCAGAAATAGCAAATGATTTACTAGGAACCACGTTAAGCTCAGCTAGTGATATAAAACTAAATACTTGCCACCAGAGTTTCCTTCCATGCTGGTCGTAACTTGAGCTTCTGTTCGGAAGCATTAGAAACACGGCTCTGATGCTTCCTGGAACTGTTAAGAGAATCGTTACGAGCTGCCAAACGGTGCCATGGAATTGGACCACACGGAACCGGTCCTGAACGGGAACTGGTTTTTGATTACCATCCCTATTACTCATACAGGTTAATCATCTCGTTATCTCAAGAAAACAATTAATTGTTGAACCACGATAATGCGATAGTTCTGTCATTATCTCGAGAAGGCAATGGGGAAACAAGTCGAGTACAACTGCTCTCGGCTTCCGTACGGGATAGAGCAGATTGACAGAAGCAATCTTTTTTTTTTTTTTGATCTTAAATGCAAAATGTTTTTTTTTACAATTTTGGTATAACTACTGCTTTTAGTGGGTCGCTCTGTTATCTAAAGGCATGTTTAATGTTTTTCTATTTAACTTGTTATTTATCCAACAAGAAGAGAGACAGAGACGGGGTTTAGCAAAATGAACCTTTGTTAACCCATATGTAGCCGATGTACTTGCCCTAGAGGTAAACGGCTGCCAGCCAACACATGCCACATGCCTCGGGCTCAAAGAATTTTAGACAAAAAAATTCAAAAACTTTTCATCAATTTGCCACAGAAATATAGGACCCATCTTCTTGCAGCCATGTTTTGTGTGGCACTGGGAGAAATACACAAAATCCAAGGGTTGCTCAAAGGAAAGCAATGGCATTCTCTTCATTATTTAACTGGATAAAGGCAGCCAGCCCACAGACAATGGGTAAGAGGAGGAGGGCTCACCTTAAGCTAGAAGAATCTTAGAATAACTTCACAGGGCAATGCTAAGAGATACCCCAAGGTCTGGCAGCCTTTTATTTCCTGTTTTGAACATGAGTTTTCATCTGCTTCAGCATAATTAAGAGTCCCCCCCAACCTCAGGATTATTGGTACTGTTGTCATTTCTACTTATGTATTGATTTCTAACCCAAGAGTGTCTGGAACACGGGTGGTGGGTATGTATGATGTCTGGTAGTAGTATGATATGTCTTGTCTATTTTTTTGACCTGTTCTTGTGATGTATATTTTGAGTCCTACTACATTGTTTGCTATTTTTTAAATGGTATGTCTAATATTTGAATATGAAACTTTCTTCATGGTTT